ATCGCATAAAAACCGCGATTTTAAACGATTCGTACGATTTAAATGCGATTTTTTTGCGATTTTGTTCATTTGCGATTTTGTCTTCGAGTTGAATCGTTTGAGCGACTTTGCATCATAAAATCGTATGATTTTACGATTCAAATCGCGATTTTGACAACCTTGATTACTACGAAGTATATGCATAAAATTCGTCGAATATTATCTCAATGCCTTCAAGAGCAATGATCTTCTGGAATGCTACATTTTTTCTTAAAGATAAAAGTGTCGTTTAGGTCTTGGGAGCAGCCTCTTATAAAAAATAACAAGGGAAGGATTGCCCCTTATACACCCTCGTGGTGAGACCTTTTCCCGGACCCTCTCCTTGCAGGGATGCAATGTGCACCATGCTGACTTTTTTTATTTTATTTTTTATAGAGGTGTCATTTAACTTCTTATACTTGACCCTCTCTTTCTATGTAGGCATAAAATATGAGCGTATGTGAACAAGTAAATAGAGTACCACTTACTTCACCCGTTCAGACTTAAGACTCATTCGTTTCTCATCATCTTCCCCTGAGAAAACATGATATATATGAAATATTCAAATATTAGTATGTTTAGATTTATCACAGCACTGTATTGCATATACATAATACAGGAAAAACAGATCAAAAACCAGAAGAGCTTAAAGTTATACAGAGTAATTTGTTATGGCAGTAGATTAGCAATACAATCTACAATAAATCAATCATCATGGTTAACCAACAAATTAGAATGCCAGAAATGCAAAAAAACTTCTCCATCCCCAGCATTACAAAACACACATAAAAACATTGTTTTTCTCAAAATGTCATTCTGATTTTGCTTCATTCTCTCTACAACTACATAAAACTATAAACCATGCTTATTCATACCATGGGGTTAAAAACACAATACGGGTCTCATTCAAATGAGGGAAAATTGCATGAATATGACTATAACACTTCATATTGTATTCACACCTATATAAAGAGCTATTATGAACTTTTATCTTTTTTAGAACTGAACAAGTCCTATTTTTAGTCCAAAACAAGAACACCCCTCTTATTGCATATGACGCTTGTTAAACACATGCGGGGATTTTTCTTCAAAGAATTCCGTCTGTTGGCACATTACACAGTCGATTGATCCAAGTCATCCAAAGAAGGAAAACAAATTCCCAAAGCAAAAATGATTACTCTACTGCAAAATTTTCAAATTCATAACCATATCTAATCAAATTAGCAAAACGTTTTTTTCAGGAAACAGGAATTGGTCTGTTTTTCATGTTTTAGTGCAAGCGAAAAGGGGGAGAGTGTTTAGCTGTTAGGGGTTTACCGACAAGAGGGTTGTAGAAACCAAGAACTTCCAGATGCTTGCCGTCCCTGGGAGAATTGCTATCGGCAGCCGTTAGTCTGTAGAAGGGCCTGTGCTTGCACCCGAACCTCGCCAACCTCAGCTTCACCGCCATTTTTGTTTCTAAACATTACAGTTGAGGATAAGGGCAGATAATATAGGCTCAGGTCCTCACGATTTTTTGTGCAATAAAAGACCAACTTCATATTAATCCAAACTAGTAGCTCACCCGTGCGATGCACGGCAAAAAGCTTAAATACATATTATAAAGAAAACATTCTCAAAAAGCATATTGTTACATCAATTAAAAGAATTAAAATTGAATAAATAAGAAACATTAGTTCTACAAATTTTGAAAAACTTTTTTTTAGACAACATTATGCTTTGTACATCACCACCTACTAACAAAATTTTCAGCCCTTTTATATTATGAGTAACTTTTGAAACCGCACATAAAGCTGACCATGAGAGAAAAATGATTTTCTCAACAACCCCACATTAGAGAGAGATTGGTCTTGACTTTTGTTAATTGTCTTTGCATAAGCAACCATTATTGGGAGTTGTGATAATCTTGGATGAGAACTTATTCACCCATGCTCCTACCAGTGATAAGGGTGGCTTCTAAAATATATATGATCATGGAGCTTAGTAATTATGAGCCTAGTACCATCACATAATCCCATAGAATGATCTATGTTTCACAAAAGAATCACATAAGTACCAACTTTCAATGTTAGCAGTGGCGTCGATACAAAGAATATTTTTGGAAAAAGTTTTGCACGGAATTTTTACACCAAAAATTTAGATATTTTTAAAATTTGGGCTGGGCTACGGCCAGGGTTAGCCCTCCCCTAGCTCTGCCTCTGAATGTGAGCTCATGATTGAGTACACCAGAAAGATGAATTTAATTTAAATATTTTGTAGTTAGTAGTTACACTCAACGGTAGCCTTGATCTAGTGTTTCATCCGTTCAAATTAGTTTGCGTCACACCATATTTTGTAAAATTTGATTGATTACAATTTAATTTAATTTTACTATTTACATTTTACCAATTAATTATTACGTACTACTCAATTTTACTTTTCCTTATAATCACACCACACCGTTGGAATTTAGGGGACGTAAGTATTCTATACAAAGTACAAACTAAATAATAATAAAATATATATGAAATGAAACGTTTGATTTCAAAATGAATGATAATTGCGGTATAAAATTGGGATTTATCCACGACTTTTTACACTTCCTTTTATGATAATTTGTTTTATATTTAATAGTTACAAATATGTCCAAACCCCCTGGTATGTGCTACGTAAGATATGTGTGTTTTAACTTGTTCAAATACCTCTTTCAAAAAAAAACTTGTTTAAATACCAAGTTTTATAAAACTAACAATTGCTTGAATTATTAGAAAGATTTATATTTAATAATAAGCAGTGCTTTTTACTATAAAGATTTAGAGAGTGATTTGGGAATAAAAGAACGTTAATCGAAAAATATATACGAAGTATGAGCTAAATATTTTCTGTAGCACATTTTTAATATCTGCTGCTTCTTTTTCAAATACTAAATTGAAGATGTTTTGCTATGCTTTCTAATCTATTGCATTCCTCAATATCTTTTTTAGTTAACCTGTTCAAATTTCAAGTTAACGGTATTTTTCATTTACATAAATGACATTTTACATACTATGAAAGAAGACTGAAAAACCCAATAATATTAAAAATATTTTACAATCATGCAATTTTCATTTATAAAAAATACAAAGAATTATCTAAAAAGTGCTTAATTTCAACCCAATACACTGCCCACCAGCCCGTTTTTTTTACAATGAACATAAGCTCACCCGGCCCATAGGTTTTTCTTGATCAACAAATCCACCCAGTCCAGTTTATCATTGATCAGCACACAACCGACTTCACTTAGGGTTTTACCGAGATGAATCGATTCAACTTCCACCTTCGATTCTCCAGTCTCCACGCCCTCCTTCTCCATTGTCCCATTCTCTAGATTCTTCGTCTAACAAAAAATTTCGATTTTAATCAACAGAGCTCGTCGCTAATGTCTCGTTATGGTAATTTTTAGTTTTATTTCCTTTAGGTTTATTTTCATCCATGATTTTCATATATGAAAATCATTTCAATCCTCCGCTACACTCTCCACCTCGATTAGTCTAATTTTTTTAGATTTATTTTCACTTTTAGATCATATGATATGCAAAAATCAAACAGTTGATTTTCTGCAAAGGCGGGTGTCTTAGTTTTGATGGGAGTTATACATATCACTGTTGATTATATAATTTTTAAAAAGTATTGTGTTGAAGAGCATTAAGCCTTTTTGAATAGCAATGTCAAATGTTATTAGAGTTTCTCCTTTGTGCCCTTCGTTATTACCTATAATTTCTTGTGCCATCAAAGATGGAAGCAATGTAAATTTAGATATAAATTCAGAAGTAACTAACATGAAGTCGTGTCTTTGAATTTCAAAAGACCTAGTCTTATTGATAAACTGTCTCTTGTATGCATTTTGTGTAGTCTTAAATAGCATAGATATGCCCTTGCCTGAATAGAGTTCGGGATTTATATGCCCATGTACTCTTGACCCATGAAACAAACAAATCTATCATTTGTTAAGCCCTTTTACCTCCTCTAGAAACACTGAAACAACCTTTTTAGATGAGCATTTTTGTTATCCTATCAGCATCAGGTAAGGTACACTCCATTCTTGGTTGGTGTTTCTCATTTGTATTGAGCTGCACTGAGACAGCCCAGACTCTTTCATCCATGAAGACTTCGATTCATGTCTTTTATACTCCACAGCCGTTCTATCTCTCTTTCGGATTTGAGTGAATAACGAAGACATCAAAATAATCAGCAAGCACCACTATCTCTAAAGTCAATTGCAAAGAGCGAACAACAATGGGAAGAATGCAATAGTTGAGAAACATTGAGATATCTATTTATACTACTTATGATGATGTATCATAAATAGTTGAGACATTGTGCCTGCCAATTTAATAAATTCAACATATTTCCAAGGACAGCTTTTTTAAAATGCCTTCTATTAAATTCGTAAAGAAAACCAACGGTTGCACTGGCGTGTTATGAAGTATGGGGAAACCAAAAGTTTATTTAGAATTTTAACATAAAACAGGACGTCACTTAAGGCTGCACAACTGCATTAAATCATAGAACAGTCCAGATAAAAAATACAGGCAACATTAATTGTCAGAATAATCAAGTGCATTTATCCGTATGTTAGGCAGGATGGACTTCATGCATATTGGCGGGAACACTGTAGCAAAATCAATTTGCTATTATATTATATTATAATAGATATTGAGCCCGTTTGGTAGCACCAAAATCGGCTGTTTTGGCTGATTCTGCTGAAATTTATGATATTCTGGCTGGAGTGGCTGTTTTGGCTGATTCTGCTGATTTAAGAAAAAAATATTTTAAAAATATATTTTATTAATAAATTAAAAAAAAAATTATATGTAAAAATAGCTAAAATGGTCCTCTACAGTAACTTCAGCCAATACAGCCAGAAAAGTAACTCCAACCTTACTTTTTCGGCTTATTACACAATTCAGCGCGCGAAAGTAAAAGTTACGTGTTTGGTGAAAAAGCTGGCTGATAAGCCTGATAAGCCGAAAACAGAGTTCTCCAAACGGGCTCATTGACTTCTTATTGAAAAACTGGAATGTACTAGGCATATTATTAAGGAAAAATTGATAGTAATAATCCCAACTATTGGCGGTCCGCTCATAATAATCCCAACTATTTATTATTACAAAATAATCCCAACTTTAGGGACCTTCCGCTAATAATGGTCCCTATGAATAAATTCTTGTAGTTTCTAAAGTGGATGAGATGAGATATAACAAGTAATCCCTATAAATAATCTCAACTTTTAATTTTTACGCTTAATTTCTATTTAAAATTCACTTTTTATAGAGGTAATATATGGTCATGGACCATTATTGGCGGATAGTCTATATAGTTGGGATTATACAAAAATAATCAATATTTGGGATTATTTTCAGCGGACCAGCAATAGTTGGAATTATTATTTTCAATTTTTCCTATTATTAATGAGTTTTTATCTAAAAAAAATATGACTAGTTATATTTTTGGATAACCTAGGACTAGTTCACTGTATATGTGTAACTAGATATGAGAATCGGAACTATTATTACTTGTTCCGGGCTCCGAAAAGTGCCTGGTCTAATCACGTTTTTTTAGAAATCGTTATTTTAATTTAATACTCCGTATATTTTAAACTCTCCCCATCCCTTTCCACCCTTTTTCCGAATGCAAAAAATGATCCAATTGAATCGACGCCGATTGAAAATTATCCTTCTAATCGTTCGAATGCGAAAAAAATGATCAAACCGGCCAATCTCGTCCCAGAATAGGAAGCCCGATACATGTCCCCTTGAATCCAACTGGTCTCCTAATCGAACCGCTACTATGGGTCCCGCTTTGGACTTGTCCCAGAACCGAGGCCTTATCCATCCCTAAGCATTTAAATAATCCCGGACCGATCCACGTTAGCCGGGTCATGTAATCGTGTTTTGGGCCTATTAGGGCCCATTCTCGGGATGGGCCGGTATATAGTATTTTATCCGGCCCTATCCCAACACTCAATATGCAATTTAATTAGCTCATTACATTGTTATTTCTGCATTAAGAGAGGACTCACACTTTTGATTTGCCACACAAAGCACAAAAGTTTGTTAGTTAAGCTACCTGTTAGAACATACTCCCTCCGTCACCTTAACTTGGTCCTGTTTTACCTTTTTGTCCGTCTCGTTAAATTTGTCTCATACCATATTTGGTAATATTTATGTGGCTACAATTCATTTTTACTTTACTCACACTTTATCAATTCAATATTAATCATACAATTTTAATTTTTCATAAAAACCACACCACACCTTTTTGTCCCAAACTTAGGGGAAAGGAAGTAGTATAAGTTTAATCATTTGGAAAGAATTGTCCACTCCTCACAAACACTTTCTATGAAGCACTAAATCGAAGTATAGGAGTTGTGATTCACTAGACTTTTTGATGTTAGAATGCCTTGGGTGAAAATTTTAGACAAATAATGCATCTCATTCCAAAGGACACGAGACACGACATCAATTTTATTGCTAATTTTAGCACATCATTTCTTGTGGGACGATTCATGAATTGCATAAGATTAATGATCACATGTATCTATTGGTCATTTAAGGACACATTTTCTTCCAATT